GGACCTGTTCCGAGTAGTATCGTCAAGCTAGCAAATACGATAGAAACCAGTTTCTATCAGAACCACGTAATTCGCGTTTAATCAACTGTGAAAATGCTATTCCGAGCCGTACGTTTCGTTTTCGGTTCCGATAGCCACGTGCGAGAACTAAGCTTTTGTTATCGATTACTCTCGAGCTGCCGTTAGGAACATAACGAAAGTGAAAACAACATGGCGTCTTTTGGTGTAAGAATGATTTACTTCACGAGCAATTGGAGAGAGAGTTAATAAACTATGTTGTTATATTGCTTAAAAATAATAACCTTAACTATTTATGAGTATTGTATGAATAATGTAATTGCTTTCTTGTTAAAATTTAAAGTAAGTAGTTATAGCATGAACATTATTTCTGACATATGTTTCATTCGCATATGTATAAATTAAAATGATAGCTTTGAATATAAATATATGACTATCAGTTACTTTTCACCATCTTTCTGGATCTTTTTGTGAGCCGACTTCATCGGAATTCAGACGGTCGGCTATTTCTTGCCACAATTTCTGGCGATCTTTTACGGTAAAGGAAGCATCTAACTTCCCTGACATTAATTTAGGGTTGTCTTCCATAAAATTAACAACCATCTCGAACTGGCGACTTGTAGTTAGCTGGCTTCGTTGTCCTTTCTTCGACATTTTAAAACAAAACTATTTCACTAGCGCTGATACAGAACAATGCTAAAACCACGTGCTTCGCTTATAAAATGCGGTCACGTGACGAAAATACAATGTTAACTAAACTATGATTGGTTAAAGCGTAATAGCTATCGATAGCGTGGAACCCAGACGCATCCTGACCGACTACCGGTAGCGAAACCCACTTAACGTGGAACACAGAATAGCGATTTGTCTAAGGTTCGTTAACTGCCTTTCGCTAAGGGGACTTATTGAATGTCCCGTGTATCGCTCTCGTTGAATTATCGGAAAAACTCAGAATATGTCCCCTGGCTCGTACTTAGATTATAAAAATATTGTTATATTGAGTGTTATGTGTTAAGTACTACACATAACACTTTACTCTTTGATCTTACCTTCTTTATAATAATTAAATAAAATCTAGAAAATAGCTAAATTTGAGATGAAACAATCTAGATTTATATCCCGTATCTAATTGCCTAAATCTCAAATTTAAGGGCAAACAAAACAATCTAGATTTAGATGAGATTTTAAAATATATTCTAAAGTAACAGTCCCGCCCAACACGTGGTACACACTTCGATGTTTTGACCTAAAGTAAAATGGCGGTCGATAGTACACGTCTTTTCCACCAAGAGCGCTGTATCTAAAGTGACATATACTACATTCTATTGATATATTCTAGCTCGTTGGATTTACATATGAATAAGCGAGATATTTATGAAAAATAATTTAACTTTAAAATTATACATTTTAGCATTTTAATAAATGAAATCAAAAATTAAATAAAATAAAAAACTTTCGAAACAATAATATCTATTATAATTTCGTAAATTTAAATATGATATGGTCTTTGTCGGCAGGTGGCGTGGGTGTCAAGTGGCGGGAGAAAGTTGTTTATAAATTCGCGAGTGTAAATTAGTTTTTACGTGTTTCATCCGTTCTGCTTCTGCTTAATTAATGTTCTGATCCAAAATAGTTTTCCAACATGAACTCGTACCGAGTAAGTATCATATATTTTTCGTAGGTCGTTCCTAGGACTAAGTTAAGTACGAAATACTGTAGTTGAAATTTATCCTGAAATCTTTTCGTCGATATTTTTAGAAATTTTTCGTTAAATTTAGATATTTTGGGTTAAAGTATACCTAGGTTAGGTTAGATTAACTATATTTTTAGTAGACATTTCCTTTTTTTTTTTTTTTTTTTTTTAATTTCAAGAACTACCGTAAATCAATAACTAGTGACGTTTGGCACTCGGCTGCCTGCCGGAGGCTCCCCTCCGGGATGAGTCCGTCGGGACCACGAACAGTCGGAAGCGCTGCCATTGGGGTTACCTAGGTATACTTTGACCGTAATTTATTACGTTCTGCAACCTTGGAAATAATAATAATAATAATAATGCTGGTGTAAAATATATATTGAAAATAAAATGTCTTTTGAATTGAGTTGAAAATTCAAAGAAAAAAATGAACTTGGATCAAACTTCTAACTTAGAAGGTAATTTTCATATTTTAAATAAAACTTACATTAATATTTTGTATTAAGGTTTTAAAAAGCAAACATGGTCGATACTCCGATCACTCGATTAGGTTCTTATTTTAGTAACGAAAAGTCCTTCTGCCCAGAATGCCCTCTCCGATTTGATGTGGGTGGAATCATCATTATTGCATTTAAGAGAAGATGGATGTTTTCTTTCATCTATAGCCCGGAAGGTTTCTAGTTTGTTTTGAGATGTGTTGCAGTATTTCCTTTGCCATCTAGTTGGACAAATCTCTGGGTTTGCTTAGCATGCGCTGCATGCTTAAAAGAAAGTTTTGACTGTTGGTATACTTTTTATACGAGAACAAATATGCCAATAATAATTTATTCTAACTTGTAAACTCTTTTATCATTTGTTTGCTTTCACGTTGACGGCTAGCTGTTTTTATTCGGTGCCATGCTTGAGGAAACTCGATTGCTTGCTCATGCAGGTTATATGTATAGGATACATTTTTTAAAATTATGTTTTAATGATGAATGCATAAAAAAATATAAGACATTCTATGTCTTAAAAATTAAACAATGGTTACTTACTGAGTAATATTCTAATTTCAAACATAATCAACTATAAGCTAGTGTATGAAACCTGATACAGACTTATGAAATATGCTGAAAACATTTGTTGTTATTAATTATAAGTGCTGTGAGTGCAAGGATGGTGTTAGAAGTCAAAGGTTAATCATAGTTTCAGTTATTGACCTTATTCTTACTGATGATGAGTGTTGTTGTCATTATAAAATTCTGCAAACTTTTATCTTAACATAAATAGTAGCATTTGAGATTCCCCCAAATATTTACATATTTGGCTCCATTGATTTTTACTATCAATAATGTTCAAATTGTCAACACCATTGGCTGAAATACAGGACTACAGTGTTACTGCAAGTGGGTGCTTGATCCTTGGTTAGCTTATCTTATGTTTTTCATCTGTCCAGCAATGTAATTATTCCTTTTATGAATAGAAATATTTAGTTATTTTATCACTGAAAATTTCATTTTTTAAAAATTCATTAATAGTCTAGTTCTTCTGTGCCTTTGTCCAAGCAAGTGTTTTCAGATGTTACTATTTATTCAAGTTGGGGTTTTCTTGCAGCTTTTTATTCATTCAAGTTTTTTTTTTTTTTTTTTTTGTAAGGTACAATAAACAGTATATGCAAATACATCAGCGGTCTTTGTTCTGCTTGACTATTTGCAAATCTGTTGTTGTTTTAAACCTCAATTCTAAGGAATGCTGAACTAACATTCAATTATAATTTTCAGTAGACATTTGGTTGACTTTTTTTCTATCTGAGATGGTAGAATGATCATGGACTCATTTGACAATTTCATATGTTCATGCAAAATATTAATTTCATATGTTTGAACAGACAGGAAGAAATTCTTGATCTTGGCCATTGCCAAATTATAACAAAAGATGGACAGTCTTATTGTAGAAACTAAAATCTCAAATACTACAGTAGAGATAAGACACATATCACACTGCTTCCGGTAATGTCAAAATGACACTTTTATCATCAGAATGCAACTTGTATACTGAAATGCATACCAGTAATAAAGACCGTCAGCCATACATAAAAAATATATAGGTATCTACAACAAAATATATTGTTTACAATTAAAGTAACAGAAAATGTCTTAAGATTCCATTACAAAATAAAATTAAAATTTGTACGGAAATTGACATTAATTACAATCCACAATTTAAAAACAGTTTTAAAAAACTATAAATGTATACATATAGTACCAGTTTACAAACTGACCTGTTCAAGATTTATTTCCACCCATGCTGCCCAGTGTTATGAGGATTCCATTATAAGCAGGCCTAAATTAATATAATTTAAGTCCCATTATAAACAGTTCAATTATATACTACCAGTTAAATTAATATTGATATATAATTTGTTGTAGATATCCAGTGGTGATATTCAGCGGGTTCGCACAGGTTCGGCCGAACCCGTTGTTAAAATTTTCAGTTTTCCGAACCTTGTTAGACACATGTAACATTTCTCAGTGGTTTTGTTTCTTTTAAAAAATATATTAAAATATACATATTATATCCTGTAACACTGCTAAACTAGAGTATTCCGATGCACCATTTGAGCGAAAAAAAAATTGTTAAGGAAAAATTTTCTGTTTGTGAACCCTTTGTTAAATATTTCGAATATCACCACTGTAGATACCTATATATCAATATTTATGTATGGCTGAGGGTCTTGTGTACTGAAATGTATACCAGTAATAGTTTCATTCAGATGATAGAAGTGTCATTTTGATGTTACAGTAGCAGTGTGATAAGTCTCTGTTAACTCTACTGTAGTATTTGAGATATTAGTTTCAACAATAATGAGACAAGAAGCTCTTTATAATAGTCTTATTATAGCTACTGATGCATAAACTGCAGTGTTTTTATAATTAAAAAATGGACATCAGGAAAAGCAATAACAGATTGGAAAAATGTTCTCAAAATTTGTTTCAACTTGATAAAATTATATTTTATGGAAATAGAGACTTTATTTCTATAAAAAAATTTTAAATTCAGCAGCAAATTACCATTTCAATGATATTATATTTATCTAAACCAGGAACATACTATTGTTTTTGAGTTGAAATTAAAATTTAATTTTCAGATTACTGATCACTTCTGGCCACAACTATAAAATAAATAAAATTCATGCATTTTTTAAAAACATGAGATGGATTGCAGAATATAAATAATTAATAATTGTTAGAATATTAATCAAATGTAAATATTTATTAAATATTCATTTTGTTTTTTTTTTCAATTTTAGGTGTTTTCTCATCCTGTGGATTCAAAACGAGAGGAGTTTAGAAAATACTTAGAAAAGGCTGGAGTTCTTGATGTTATAACTAAAGGTAATTTTAAAATCTTTATACCTTCATTGTTTAAAATGAAATATAGTGGATGATTGGTTAACGAACAGTTTGGACTGCAAACAAATTGGATAATGAACACCTGACAGAACAAACACAAGAAGCAATGCATCATTTAAGATTTGTAAAACTATATTTTAATGGCATCTATACATGGTTTATGGAGCGAGACACTCAGTTATATACATAATCTTTTTTGCACTAGTTAATTTCTGTTCTCTGAATTTTTATAAGTGCTTTTCTGAACTTTTTATTTAAAAAACTGATAATATTATGTTGCCTGAAAAGAGTGGAGTGTGAAGAACTGTGTTCATTATAGAAACTAAGCAAGACATAATACCCAAGGTAGAGTGTGGGCAGAAGATGTCTAATATTGTATACAGGTAACTTTAACAGGTCTACAGTAGCTATAATCTTAGCTAAGAAAGATATCAGAATGACTCAAGCAGATAAAAGAGTAACATAAATTGCATCTGACAAACAAAGATGTGCCATCCATGAAAAAATTGAAAGATTGCTTTTAGTTGTACATATAAATAAACTTAGTAAGAAAGTATATAATTTATTTTTTGGGGTCTCCAGAACAAATTAATAAAATTTCCACAAAAATCTATGGTAAATTGATAATCAGTTAACGAACAATTTGGGTATCGAACATGGTCTTGGAATGGATTGTTTAACTGATCACCACTACTTTGTATAATATAAATGTTTAATAGTATTTTTACTTTACCATTTGTTAATATAACAACCGTTTTTAATTTAATAATGATGAATAGTATTACAATCCTGTATAGTTCAAATAGAATTGTAATTATTTTTTGTTTTAGATCATTTTCAATTAAAAAAAAACAATAATTTTTAATGTGTTATATACTATTTTTTAATTTTTATGGTATATTTAATTAACATTAAATTTGAATAAAATGAAGTGAAATTTATGGTNCATTCAGATGATAGAAGTGTCATTTTGATGTTACAGTAGCAGTGTGATAAGTCTGTTAACTCTACTGTAGTATTTGAGATATTAGTTTCAACAATAATGAGACAAGAAGCTCTTTATAATAGTCTTATTATAGCTACTGATGCTTGATAAAATTATATTTTATGGAAATAGACTTTATTTCTATAAAAAAATTTTAAATTCAGCAGCAAATTACCATTTCAATGATATTATATTTATCTAAACCAGGAACATACTATTGTTTTTCAGTTGAAATTAAAATTTAATTTTCAGATTACTGATCAATTCTGGCCACAACTATAAAATAAATTCATGCATTTTTTAAAAATGAGATGGATTGCAGAATATAAATAATTGTTAGAATATTAATCAGATGTAAATATTTATTAAATATTCATTTTGTTTTTTTTTTCAATTTTAGGTGTTTTCTCATCCTGTGGATTCAAAACGAGAGGAGTTTAGAAAATACTTAGAAAAGGCTGGAGTTCTTGATGTTATAACTAAAGGTAATTTTAAAATCTTTATACCTTCATTGTTTAAAATGAAATATAGTGGATGATTGGTTAACGAACAGTTTGGACTGCAAACAAATTGGATAATGAACACCTGACAGAACAAACACAAGAAGCAATGCATCATTTAAGATTTGTAAAACTATATTTTAATGGCATCTATACATGGTTTATGGAGCGAGACACTCAGTTATATACATAATCTTTTTTGCACTAGTTAATTTCTGTTCTCTGAATTTTTATAAGTGCTTTTCTGAACTTTTTATTTAAAAAACTGATAATATTATGTTGCCTGAAAAGAGTGGAGTGTGAAGAACTGTGTTCATTATAGAAACTAAGCAAGACATAATACCCAAGGTAGAGTGTGGGCAGAAGATGTCTAATATTGTATACAGGTAACTTTAACAGGTCTACAGTAGCTATAATCTTAGCTAAGAAAGATATCAGAATGACTCAAGCAGATAAAAGAGTAACATAAATTGCATCTGACAAACAAAGATGTGCCATCCATGAAAAAATTGAAAGATTGCTTTTAGTTGTACATATAAATAAACTTAGTAAGAAAGTATATAATTTATTTTTTGGGGTCTCCAGAACAAATTAATAAAATTTCCACAAAAATCTATGGTAAATTGATAATCAGTTAACGAACAATTTGGGTATCGAACATGGTCTTGGAATGGATTGTTTAACTGATCACCACTACTTTGTATAATATAAATGTTTAATAGTATTTTTACTTTACCATTTGTTAATATAACAACCGTTTTTAATTTAATAATGATGAATAGTATTACAATCCTGTATAGTTCAAATAGAATTGTAATTATTTTTTGTTTTAGATCATTTTCAATTAAAAAAAAACAATAATTTTTAATGTGTTATATACTATTTTTTAATTTTTATGGTATATTTAATTAACATTAAATTTTGAATAAAATGAAGTGAAATTTATGGTTTAAGAGAAAGCTGAGAGAATTTTTAAAATATTTCGGAAAGACACCTGCTGCTTTCTTATTAATAAGGAAACAGCTATAAAAATAAAATTAAAAACTTCAGTAGAAATATCACTCACAAAATTAAAAATTCATATTGTACATCAAAAAGTGAAAGGAAAATGAACAATTATTTATTGTGGCAGTCACAATGCCAGGCTGCAATTTTTAGTCATATTTTTAAATTATTTCATTTAAAATATATGCTCTCCACCTCCAGATTAGTAGTGGCTAGCCCTTGTACATCATACTTTTCCTTTAACAATAGAGTTGTGCCAGTCATCTATCTAACACCTTTTTTGGGAAAATTTTTTAATTGAAATAATGTAACTTCTGGTTTGTAGTGGACATTTTTATATAGTTAATTGGGACCTTTTTAAAATTTACTTGCATGCCTTAAATGCAAACTTTTAAGAATTTTTTAGAAAACAAGTATGAATATTTTTCTTAAGGTGTGACTATGCAAATTTAGCAGCGAGAGATATAGTTCTCGCAAAGGAAAACATGTACAAGCAAAACGCGAGAGAGATCACTGGCAAAAGCGAATTTCTAGTTCTCGCACATGTCTGACAGGGTTTGATATTTATTGCATCTCGCCTCTTCTTGTCACATATTCTCTCTCTCATGTCTGCATAGGTGCGCCCTTAGAATTAAAATCAAATGGAGATTTTTAAAAAGCAAATTTATTGAAACCTGCTAGATTAAAACAAATTGGGCAAGTGCAGAATTTTTTTAGATCATGTTAAATCAAAATTGTGGGGGGGAAATATAAAAAAAACAATTGAATTGAAGTGAAAATGCAAGAATATAGATGGGGAAATTAACACATTATGTAGTTCAGTGAATTCAACTCAATATATAATTGCTATAATATTGCTTTTATTTAAATATTTATTTTATTTAATGTACATATTTATAAAACTAAAATTATTTTTACACGATACCTGCTAGCACTTTCTTCCTCCTCCCTAGTTTTCCAATATCTGGATTCAAAGACTAAGAACAATCAATCATTATTATGGCAAATAATGTTTATCAGTTAAATTATTTTAAGTTAATATATTAACTTAATCAGTTAAATCGTTTTATTTAATTTCATGCATGAAAATAATTGCTCACATAAGTATGTACATCCAAAACAGCATAAAATTTGTGCAGCAAACTTTTTAATTTTCAGGTATTTTTCACCTAAATGGGAATGTTTTGGGAGTTATTACTTCTCAATATTTGTCTTTTAAAATGATTTAGTGCCATCAGTTGTTACAGAAACAAGCTTGTCAAGAGGAAGCTTATGTTTTTTTTAAATGCTCCAGTTGTTGTTGGTCCATAAAAAGGGATAATTTCCAACAATTTTTCAATGATCCTTATGTTCTTATCACAACCACGAAAAAAAACAGTAACTTGTGCAACATCTCTTGTCTGTGCTTTTATCACTCACAATTGAAAAGTATTGGATTTTGGTAGATGCTACCTGTAGTTGTGAACTGATGTCATCTGCCATTTCTGTAATTCTGTGTGCCGCTGTTTTTCTTAATAAGGAGATATCTCGAAATGCCTATACCTTTTTCTGGACAGATGAATTCAGCAGCTTTTATCATACATGCTTGATTAAAGAACCATCAGTGAATGATTTTGAATGTTTTGCTAATAAATAGCTTATATAAAATCGATCAAGCATCTGGAGAGGTTGGAAATCTATAAAGCGCACATGAAAACCGGTTGTATAAACCATAGAGACGCCGACTCAATGTCCACTGCGTGGAGATCTTTTTACAATTATTAATTTTTCACTATTTATTTAGTGACATTGTTTCTTTGCAAATTGTTTAGTGACATTTTTAGCGGCATTGTTTCTTTGCAAATTAAGCATGTAATTTTATTGTTCATTTCTGCACAAAAATAGTTCAGCTCCCACCTCTTGAAATTTTCTTCTTTTGTCATCAATCTTTTGATTTTTATTTAGCATTGAAAGTGACATTTTCTGTATAAAAATTAGGATTTAAATTTTAAAAATTTAAATAATTGCAACTACATATTCAAAAAAAAAAAAGTAAGTATAAGTTATAAAACAAAACAGCCCACAAATCTTTAACACACCGATCGGGACAAACAAACTAGTACAAATGCCTTTTTGTTAAAATTCAAAGAAAATACGGTTACACACCTTGGCTGTGCCTACCTGCCATATATGACTCTGCAAGAGAAAATAAGACTTTTGAAGCTTGACATCTCTAGATTGAAATTGGCTTGAAGTTACTTGTGAGGTGTATAATCGTGGCCTAGTCTCTCATGGTTGACCCGTCCATCATAGCATATGACATTATGGTGTCATAGCAACAATGCGATAGTTACTTGCTATTTTCGTAACATATTATTCTGTATTTCATTTTATTGCAGAGCTTTGTGACCGTGGGCCACAAAAAATCACACTATGGCTAAAATCACTGGCATAAAACAAAAGGGCAAACTTGGAATTATAGAATTAAAAGTATTTAACCAAGATGGGATGGTAGGTGCAGCCATCCTAGCAAAAACTAAGAAGGGAGGACAAGTGCCTATCTGAATAACAAACCTCTCACACAACCTAGAAAACTACCAAAGGGCAAATTCGTAGGAATTAGGGGTAGTAGAAGGGGTAGTAGAAGAAAAAACTTTTTAGGGGTAGTAGAAGAAGAAACTCCTCCCATGAGCCAGAATCCTACCAATCAACAATCTACTTCAAATCTTACTAAAGATAAATTCAGTCAGTTGTTTGTTTGGTCCCATATTGGGAAAGGAAAAAGGCAACCTCTCTTAAACCTATTGTATAAATATAAACATGTTTTGCAACTCACTATTATGACATGGTACGGTGTCAGATAGTAGAACATGAAATAAATATCGGAGATGCTTCTCCTATATATCAACCTCTGTATTGGATACCCTATGCTCAGCGAGAGCAAATGAATGAGATTATTGATAAATTATTAGAAAATGGAGTAATTACGCATTCTAAGTCTCCATGGTAAGTTCCTGCATCATTGGTCTAGAACAGTGGTTCCCAACCTTTTTTCATTAGCGTACCCCCCTGTGACATTTCCAACTTCCCAACCAGCAATGCATGCGCAAATCTCGCACTGCCTGTTTGTAGAGTGTTGCCACTTTGAATTTTATTTTGTCTCTGTTCTCAGTCTTTGATAGTGCTATTAAGCTGTCTTATTTGTTACTACAATTTGGTCCAACCACCTGTATTCCAGTGCAGTAACCTGTACACCAGTGCACCTGTATTCCAGTCCAGTGCAGTAATATTGTCTGTTCACAGATCTCCATGTCACACCTGCCATGAGCCTCTAGGTCATATCTGAAGTCTCATCGTGGAACAAATCACGTTGACCTTAACTCCTGTGCCAACTAAACTTATGGATGTCCAGAGCTACAGGAAAATGATTGAGAGGTTCACCAGTGATGCTGCCCTTTTAAACCTTTGTAATGCCCCTTTGTCAATCTTAATTGCTCCTGGGTGGGGGAAATAATCTACAATCTCTAATCTACAATCTCTAATCTACAATCTCACATATAATCTACAATCTCACATAACCTGAGCCCATCCACAAGTCCCAACCCTACAGCAGTCCTCCTTACTTTTCTTGGCATTGACACCAAAATATCTATTCTTTGGCATTGACACCAAAATATCTATTCCCAACACTTAGGCAGCTATCCTAACCTGTTACGACCAGCAATTCTTTATCCTTGTTTCAAAGCAATGCCCAGATAGACCTTCCTTTTTAACAAAACTTATTTTATTAACAAAACCCCCGTCCTCTATAACATTTACTTATTTTATCGCCTCTAAAAAGGGTGCCCACTCTTCAATGGACATCTTTCAAAATCACCCTGTTTGGGTCCCAATCCATGTACAATTCCAACCCTCATTTAGAACTTTTGGCAGATATTGTACACTCTTTTTGTGGTCACAATAATTAAAAATTTTTCTTATCTATTACATCCAATTGAATCCAGATTGGCAGTAACCTCCTGCCCTTTTCAGATGATGGAACCTGAAGAATGGTGGGACACAGACTTCACATCGCAACCTCCTCCTCCCAGAACCAAAGTAGATGCCACTTCCCTCCATGCTGCCTTAACCTTTGCCTGAGCACAATGGCAGAACCTATCTGCTCCAGCTACTATTATCCTCCCAGTTGGGTATACGTGTCCATCCCAACTGGAAGCATCCTTCCAGGAAGAAACCAATCTCACCAAACAGTACCATCAGCAAAGAAACACCATCTCCCCACATGCTTCCAGAACGCCTCTATTTCCGGCACCACATCTACGACAACCCACCCGACCACCTAACCCCCAGCGAAAACGCCACCCGACTCCTTGCCCGTGAGGCTTAAGAGTCACTTCCTATTCTCTCATCATTTTCTAATTTTCCATTTTGCACTGTATCCCCTCATATATACAATATATATGCTTTTTGTCATAAAATGCATATCCTATTATATTATCCTGAGAAATTTATATTTGTATATTGAAATACTGTATATCCCATACATGGGCGTAACCAGAGTTTTGTTATGGGGGGCCTAATAGAGGCCAACCTGACACAAAATTGAATTATTTCATTTTTATTATTATATATATATATATATTTCATTATTATATGTTTATTATTTTTTTTAGCATTAAGTTTTTCTTTCTTTTTGCAAATCGGCTCGACACTTTTTCGGCTGTGATTTTTCTGGGGGGCACCAGGTTCACTGGAGGGGGCCATGCCCACCCAGGCTCCCCCCTCGCTATGCCCATGATCCCATATATATATATGGGTGTGTGTATGTATCATTCTTTTATTATCTCTCTAATAAATATGAATTTGTTACTTACTACTGTTTTTTTTCTATCTAACCACAACCCATTACGTGTATTGACACAACACCCTTATCGAGAGAGAGAGTATCTTTGATTTGTTTGATTAAACTGACATGAGCTTAGTATATAAATAATAATTCATGCCTCGTGGCAAACTTTATACATGATGTTGCATATAATGTTTAATTATTTTATTTTGATGTAACCTAATCTTTGCAATGGATTCTTTTACACTATATTCATTTAATGAATAATAATCTTTATATTCAAACGAGAGAGAGTAACCCTTTTGTCAACCCTTTTTGTGACCAAACCAATGAAAAAAAATCAAACTTGCACATTTGGAAACAAGCACAATTTTAGAGAGGCCAGGGTGATGTGAGAATCTGAACTTTAACAAAAATTGGTTGTCAATTTTGTCATATTTGTTCGATATTTGTTGTCATCTACTACCTGAGAAAATCTCCATTTACACTTTCTTGATGGCAAAAACAACGCATTCCTGTGATCTGTTAACCTCTTGGCCGCCTCCATTCCGAAACTGCTCGCTCACGTGACCTAATTGTTTATCCCAACTAAATTTGCCGTTGCAGACAGGACATTGAAGAGGTGCCAACCCTCTGGTCACAGTGTACTTCAAATTTATTACTATGAAGTCAAGTTTAGAAAGATACTTAGAATTATTCAATAAAGTGTTCATAATACTGTTTTCAAATTATTCATTATAAATAAGACAATTTAGTTTAAGTGAACTTTGTTTTTAAAAATGCATTTTTGTCATGCACATTTTCATTTTGTAATTAAATTATTACTAAATTGTTTAATTAACTATTATTTCAAATATCTTTCCATAATAATGTCAGTTCATTGTTATCAAATCTAATTAAAATATGAATTTTAATTAGATTTATATTTATCTCAGCAGTAGATTGTTCTTTTAGCTGTAGATTGTAGTCTAGGCATTAGCTTAAACAAAAGTTTACTAATGCCAACTGATTTGTGTTTATTAAATCATATTTCCTCTTAAGTACTTTATTTTGGATCAGCAAAAATGATAAAAAAAAAAGATGCATCTTTGTAGTCCAAAGCAACTAAGTCATTGGAGCAAAATTATGTGCCAATATTGACAAATTTAGTTATACCATTTAATAGTGATGTCAGTTCAAATGAGCCTTGCTGATAATGAATGTTTAATTAAAACTCCTTTTTAACATCAAAATGCTTTCAAAACATGTGCATAGGAGCATGGAAATAATGTTCAGAAATAAAGTAAAACTACCATATTATATTACATGGCATTTTTATTTTTCTAATTTGTTGTTACTTAAATAGAAGTTAATTAAATTGGTTACTTAAAAATTTTCTCCATAAAAATATTTTTAAAATTTAATTTCAAATTCATGGTGTAATTGTCAGTATAATATACCATACTTCATTGATTATATTGATTAAGTATGGATTAAACATTACCAAACTATTACTACTATTAAATAATTTAAAAAAAATTTTTTTTAATTCACTGGCCAGATTGCCAAGGCAAGTAAGATACCAATATAAATTATAACAAATTCAAAAGTAATCTGAACAGTTTTTGAATTTGAAACAAATGCAACAGAACAACTGTTCAGAATATTAATTTTAAATTTGTTCTCATTTATATTCTGTTTGCCATTCTAAATCATTTATTCTAAGATTTTAAGCTGAGGATGGTTAAATTTTAACTGAAAACATTTATTTAATTTAAAGTTGGTTTCCTGAAATTAGTATTATTCATTATTTTTCTTAAATAAATTCTACTAATTGAATTAAATGACAACCATTTACAAATTATATTTAGTTAACAGTAACTTTCTTAACTTTAACATTTACATATTAAGATAAGTTTTTAGTTATTCTAAAAAAAGATGCATTTAAACTTTGTACATTACATTGAACCATTCTTTTTCAGCATTAGTTGAACTTTTGGAAGCCAAAGATAGACCTAGTGATGCAATGGAATATCCTTTTTATTTTGTTTAATGTATAAACATATTTTAAAAATTTAAGTTGAAACTTATTTATATTAATAAATTTAAAAATTTGTAATTGTGTTTAGAATATATAATTAAAACATTGAAAGATTAAAAGAAACTGCAGTAAAGAAAGCAGCATAGAATTATTTAAGTCCATAGGAATTTCATCTGAGATATTGCAGTAACTTTTTTTTTCCTATGAAATTTCTTATCAAAGTGATATTACTACTATTCTACAGACTAAATGATTGCTTTAAAAGAGACAAAGATGGGTTTCAAATTGAAAACCAGATTATACATACTATTTCATATGCTGATGACATTGTGTTGATAGCTCCTACAGCAGCTGCACTCCGTAGAAAAATCCAACAAATCTGTGAGTATTTAGAAAAGCTAAGAGTTAAAATAAATTCCAAAAAATCAACAATTATGATATTTAGAAATGGAAGTAACGTATCCAAAAAGCACATGTCTTTCTTCATTAATAAAGAAGAAGTGAAGATAGTGAAGGAAATTAAATTTTTAGGAGTTACATTCACACCTAATCTCTCGTTCGAAAAACATTATAAAAATTCACTAAGTAAAGCAAAAATTGCAATAAATAATTTAATTGGTCTATTCTGCAAGGCAAAAATAAAGAACATACGTATACATTTTCAGCTTTTTAATTCGATTGTGATGAACTCAATGGGATATGCTGCCCCAATTTGGAGCATGGAAAAATTTAATGACTTTGAGAAAATACAGAATATATTTATACGTAAGATATTCCAGCTAGAATATAATATCCCGGGTAGTGCCTTAAGATTAGAAACAAATAGATTCAGAATAAATACTATACTAATAAAAAGATATTTAAAGTTTTTACTCAAAATTATTAAGGCTGAAGATATAACAACAAAATTGCTGTTCTTACTATATCACAAATCAAGGGAAACGGACTTAAGACGAAGTTGGATAATTCAGTTATCGAAGATAGTAAATAAATATGGATTTTCTATTAAACTGTTTATGGATCATACGTATGATATGGAGCAGTATAGTAAAGAAATAATACACAGAGTTATGGAATACTCTATTATCCAAGACGTTGAAGATATACAAAAACGAGAAAATACAAGCTGGTATACAACAATTCTAAATTATCCAGTAAATAACAACTATATATTGACAAATATAGCTTTCAATATTAAAAAGTTTTTTATGCAGATTAGGTTAAATAAAAATGGAATAATTATAAATGACAAATATATAGATTATACCCAATCTAAATGTCCAAATTGTACGAAAAATTTATCTAAAATTCATATTTTATGTGAAAATTGTAACGAAAAGGATAAACTACAAAGGCTCCAGATTGAACCACTGGCTAAATGTACTAGTGAGCTGGAAATGTACAAGACATTAGATAGAGCTGATGTTAACACCATTTATATGATATATAACTATGTTAAACAACTAATTAAATAATTATGACAAAATATTAATAAAATTATATAGATTAGTATATGGTAAATACTAATATTATTAAAAAATTATTAAATGAGATGTTAATATGCGTTTCATCAAAATAAAACGCCCTTGTAACAGGCGAAAGCCTTCTACGCCAATAAAGATTACTTACTTACTTACTTTATTCTACAGACATGCAAAGAAAATAGTGTCTACATGAATGCATAAAAGATCAAGAAATAAAACAAGAGATGTGGTAAGATGAGAGAGAAGAAAAATACAGTCACTGATGTATATAAACTTATGGAATAGCTCTCATTTACTTTCATAGTTTTATATAGATGTTTGTCATTACATAAGGATGGAAAAGAGGAAAAGATTTATATAACTTATATATTGCAAAACACACTGCAACGTGAATTCCAGGGAGAAACCTGAATGGGCTGACATGTGTTGGCTTCCCAAGCCTTAATTCCTGAAATAAGTTCCAAATACATTGTAAGAACAGAGCTGCCGTCTCAAAGGTGAAGTGATGGACTTTGGCTGTGTAAAACTTCAAAAAATTCTCCATATAGATAAATGGAACGTGTTAATTGCAATTGTAATTCCTAGTGATCAGAGGATGCAGACCAAAGAGACAAATCCTGCAAGTGAACCAAGGGCAACTACAGAATGAGACAAGAGATTGCATTTGCATTGGTAGTCTCAATAAAGGTTTTTTGTATTTTCCTAGTCCATTGACCACCACTACAATTCTCTCTTGGTATTAATAGACCAACACTGCAAAAAAATACTTCCCTGTTTTGGTGTGTATGATCAAATCAAAAGTAGCATAACAAATTTTACAGGCAAATATCTTTCAAAGGATCATAATTAAGTCCCTGGTTCTGCTTTGGTTTCTTTTTCTTGTATAGTGACAATTTTAGATACACCAATTGCCTGTTATTGCTACAAGTTTATCTTTGTTTTATAAAAGGATTTTTTTATTTAGTATAAACAAATCATATTTAGACATTAGATTTCACAGGTTCCAAAAGAATGCTATCTTGTAACAAGATCAAGCTGAGGACATGTGATTGTTTCAGCTTCTGATTGATTTAACAAATGTGTTTGTGTTCTGGCTTAGTAAACATTAGTATTGTGTTGTATTCCAAAGACACATGGCAAGTTTTCCATCAAATATCTTTATTAGTTGAGTCGATATTTGAATAAAGATATTTGATGGAAAACTTGCCATGTGTCTTTTGGAATACAACACAATACTAGTGTTTAATATGCCAGAATTATAAAACAGGACAGTTTCAAAAAACAAATTAACAAATGTGTTTGTGTAATTTCTTTCTCTTTTTGCAAGAATTAAAGAGTAAATGCTTCTTTAATTGTAAAGATGTATGTAGTTTCTGAGCAAATCATAAACAATAACAGTCAATGAGAATCCAATAGTATTAATAGAAGAAAAATGAAAATAACAATCTTATTACAAATAAGTAAATATTTTATGGAACAATTGCAGCTCTGAAAGACATGGTTGGGACTGATATCAGAGCTGTTGATCATATCCATAAGAGTAAAAAGTGAAAGAAACCATACCTCCATTTGACCCTTATTGAATTTTGAAGATTCAAGAATGTGATAAAATTTAAAAGTGAATTTCCAGAACTATTTCTCAAAACAATGCTAAAAATTTCCTATTTTTTACCTTACTAAAGACAGCTAAAAGCTCACAAAATAAAAGAATTGCCATCTTTCACTAACTAGTTCCAAGGTGCAGCATGCTCCACTAAGTGTATTGCATGTTTATCAGGCAGCCCAAATGATGATTCAATTTACATTTACAATTCACTCTAATGATATTTATTAGTAAAGAAGATTGCTGTAATAAATTGAGCTTAACTATTTAATTAAGCAACATAGGTTGGATGTGCTCAGCAGAAATAAATTACAAATTTTATGACCACACATATGCATTTGCTGAGAGAATATTTTTAATAACTAAAATTTCAACTTATTCCTATAGGCCAGTGGTTCCCAACCTTTTTTCATTAGCGTACCCCGTGACATGTCATATCTCTAGATTGTACCCCTCATTTAAGAAATTTAGTGAGTAATCGTATTGTTAATTTTACATATTGTAACTTTAAATTAAAGAAAAAAAACTAAAAGAAAAAATGTATAATAAAGTTGTGATTGTTGCTAGGAACATTTTTTATCTAATAATTTTTTAATACTATTAGTTTGTGATACATAATATATTATTTTTTCTGCCATAATAACTAACTTTTTTCTGTACCCCTAAACAACCTATCGCGTACCCCAGGTTGGGAATCGCTGCTATAGGCCATCATCAGGTTCTTAAAACCATTTTTAGAAAATGTTCCACAAATAGAACATTCCATTTAAATTTTTAACCAATGAGGTATTTTAAATACAAATGTAAATTGATATGAAAAATATAAGGTTAATTTGTAAGTTATTTATTTAACAATAAATAAAAGTAAATTTATACAAGGTTAACAAAACAAATATGTTTTTAAGTATGCAAATAAGAAAAAATATATACTTAGAAACTCTGAAAGTATAACACACAAGCAAAATATAATTATAGGGGGATACAATTCAAGGGTTTTTATGTCCAAATCTGAATTATGTGTTCCTCTATAATCATATATAAAAATAAAAAAATTCATACTAATAACATGCCAGTATGTCAACTTGTGCTTCCTGACAATAGGCATCAAACATAGAAATCTTGCTGCCTCTTGTTAAGCAGCCCATTTTATTTTTGCACTTGTGAAGTTTCATTGATCTGAAAAGAAAACAGTAGAATTTTCAATGACTGTTTGTTTAATAAGGATGTTGTGTTTCATGTATGACCAAACATGGGATGAGCATCACCTCAATGTGTAAACCTTCACTTCCAAGCTGGATGTTCTATTGGTGGGTGACTAAAATATTTGGTACAACTTCTGCTGGGAAGTTGCAATCTACCACTGTGTGCAGGTCCATACTATATTTGTGCGCAGAGATGGTGACTGGCTACTTGCCCATGAGTGAATCATATCAGTAACTGTGGAATACAAACAAAAAGATCATATATGTTATATTACTTCATATGACAAAAAATGCAGAAGCACAGAACATAGGGCTAAAAATGTATTTACAGAATCTTTAGTTGATCATTTCATGATCAACTTAGATATCATACTTTTCAGCAGAACTGAACACCTTTAAAAAAGTGAGTGCAAATGAGGCTGTACACATGGTCTATCATATGGTCCATTCAGTCAAGGTACCAGTCCATTACTCTCCTTTTTGCTTTACACAGCAATAGACTGGAATGAACTTGAAAAAGTATCCTAACCAAGTATAAGCCCAGCATAATAAATAAGCCCAATATGATTGGTCTGAAGTGGCTATTAATGAATACTACCAGTTCATGTGTTAAGTTTGGAAAAGTTAACTGCAAATGAGCAATTATTTATTTTGATATCACAATGCTGGGCTGCAATTTTTAATCATTTTCTTAGCTTATGTTTTAAATTGAATAAATTATGTTCTCCATCTTAAATTTGTAGTGTATTGCCCCTGTTCATCATACTTTTCCAGATAACAATCATGCCAATCATCTATGTAACTTCATTCTGGTTCAACTTCATTCATTGAATTCACGACTTTTCTTCCAAACTGGAAATTCATATATAATTAATTGGGGAGTTCTGCCCCTAAGCTTTCTATATCTGGTCTTGACTTCCATCTATCTAACTCCATTCTCAAGATTAAGGAAGTACAGACAGATGATGGTAATTTATAGGTCTACAATTCTTTCAAATTGCAGTCCAGTAACATTCGTTTATAGTTAAATCAAATATTGCATACCTCTGCAGTGAGGGTATGGTGACACGAAACTGGTTAGGTCCAGATGAAGCACAGGCCTCAAGACAGCAAAATTTCTGTGTGGCCTCTGGTTGGCAAGTAGCTCTTAAATTTATGTTAAATATGTTCTGGTATCTATGATGTGAAATGCTGTTGGAATATTAAGCTAAATAGCACTGAGTGAGAACTACGAAAACACTAAAAATTCAACTAAACATTATTTGCTGTTTATTATGGAGTGTATTTAATTTTAATGAAAAATAAAATTGGGATCTACTCAAACAAGGAGACAAAAATACTGCCTTTTATTTGTGAGGAATTATGCTGTTTTTTTTATATAAATTTCAAAAGCAAGCTTGCTTATTCAGATTCTACTTATGTAATTTTTAAGTTTTTAATATCACCTTAACAGAATTAAGTTTTTAAGGCAACAATTAGCGGCAGCCAACCCTCATGCTAATGAAATATCAGCATTGCAAGATGAATTAACTAAAACCAATGAACAGCTAAAATTATTAACAATTGAAAATACTAATCTTAAAAACAAAGTAAGTAATATACAATTGTTAAATTACTGTGTTTGTTTTAGTTTTTAAATTAAAGTTGTCTTTAAAGATTTAAAAGTTAAATTTTGAATTTACAAATAACAAGCAAGCCATTTGAAATAAATTCCATTTCAATAAAAAAAAAAGTTGTCAAATTATTAGAAATGGAAAGACAGTTGTTGCATTCTTTTGTGCATGATAATTCAGCAATATAAACTTTTATAATTTACATTAGTTAATATTTATAAATTGGTACAATCAAATAATACAATTTGTTGTAGTTTCCTATGTATTTGCTATAGTTCCAGATTTGTCTTAAAAAACAAACATTTAATAACATGTACAGTATATTTCATTTTACTATACAGAATACAGTATATTTGAATATACTGTATTCTGCTTAAAAGTATGATTAAAGATGTGATATGGTTTAGTTTCAGATGAATGCAGAATTTCTATTTTGTTATTGATTTTTAATACCCATGACTGATTGTGACCTATACTGTTTTTAAAATTCTAATATTTTCAGTATTTTAACATTTTGATTTCAATATCCTATCCGAAAAAGTATTTTGATCCAATTGAATGTAATTTTTATATATTTTTTAAATATCATATAATGACACTAGCTTTAAATATTATGAGGGACATTTAAACAGTTGTTTTTAGCCAGAAGTTTGTAAGCATTTTTGACGAAATTTGGTGGGAACACTGGCTATACTTCCGTCTTAGCGACAGATTGATATTGTTGATGTGACTGAAACAGTTCTTCTGGTATCAGTTGTGAAAGATGTCACATCATTTGTAAGCAGTGTCTAAATTATAAGTTGGGGAGTGACTCATTTTTGTGTGCAAAAAAAGTGTAAATGCCAAAATTAATTGCCAATTAGAGGAAGTGTGTGCTGATAAAGCAATTTCATGCCAAGCAGTAACAAAATGGTGCATGTTGTGGCCAAATGCATGGCTGCTGAATATTTTCAAATTTCTCTTGAACATAAAAAATTTTCCTGAAAATTATTGCACTTTTTTTATTAACCAATTAATAATTATTACTGTGTAGTTTGGAATTGTTTTTGTGGCAATTGCTGTAATATTATTTTTTCTATATTTTCATCTGAACGTCATTTGCACAATCAGACATATTCTATACTCCTGCCCATATATTCATACCAAAAGGCACTATTGTGAAACCCTGAATAAGCTGAAAAAGAAAATATTTTTAAAAATTGTTGGCCAAGAAAATTGTCAAAAGGCCTTGTGCTTTTGCATGACAATGCCATACCCAGGCCTCGGAGTTGCTCACTTTCTCACTTGTACGTACTTTTCCGAAGTATCCTCTCTTTTCTCACTTTTTTGGTAGTTTCACGTGCCTACTTAAGATGTGGGACAAATCAAAAATAATTTTAAAGCCAAACGATCTGCTGAAATATCGGACTATCGGAATAGAATTTTCTGGAAGGGTTAATCTTTACCTATGTGCACCATCACTGCGGCTCTTTCCTTTCTTCTGTTTGTTGGAATCAAGGAACAGTGGGGACGCACGTTCTACCCTAACCTATTCTAATTACCAAATTATTAGAATAGGTTAGGTTAGGACGTGCGTCCCCACTGTTCGCCCTGAGCAGGACTCAAAATCGCAACTGCTACTCAGTGTTAGGTTATAGGAAACAAAAATTTATTTCACGTATGTAAAAAAAAATCCTTTATGCACTTAAAAAAATTCCTCTCATTACAAATTCAGAAGCCAGTGTTGAGTAAGGTTATGTAATCATGACACATTTTCATTATTTGCCAAAATTTATCTCTTCCGAATTGCATTTCCTTCTACAGAGTTTAAAAATGAGTATTCTAAGCATCCCTGCGTTTTTTTGCTGTTTTCTAAAAAAATCACTAAAATCCTTTTGCAGGGGAAAACACACAACGCAGAGGGATTAATCTCTCAAGCTGACAACATGCTGCCGCTTTTAAATTCAAAATATTTAATTATTAAAATTAACACGAGATAGTAGCGTAACCTCCTACCACTAGACAAATTATTTCGTTTCTGACCATTTAGTTGTCCTTGTTATGGCCCAATAATTTGGCAGATTATTTGGTTTTAATTAACAATCGGGTTATGGAGTTGTCGTTTACAAAAATATTTATTACTTTAAAATTAAAAATTTGACACTTCCGTGTTGCGGCGTTATTGACAGCGTTTTGTTAAATTTCAGACGTGCTCGCTAGTACTTTCAACAGTTTACAACCGTCGTCTTCAGGCGAAATCGAATACAGTACCTTAATTTTCGAATTGACAGCTTTTAACGGACTTTCCAAATTACGTAATGCGCGTGGTTGGAATATAGAATAAATTAATAAAATTGAATAAATATTCTTTAAAGAAACCTGCTGTAATAACTTGAACTCCCCAAAACATATAAATATTGATTGATGATGCCGTGCATAGTAATGGAATAAAATCAGAACACAAAATTATAACTTGAATTGTTTAAATAAAGTTATCCATAGCTGTGGTATTTCCAATGTCGGCACGTCGGCAGGATGCATGTCGGCAGGAAACATGGTTTCATATTACCTATGTCGGCAGGAAACATGGTTTCATATTACCTATAAGGTAATATGAAACCATGTTTCCTGAATATGCGTGTTATTTTTAGTGAGATGGCGCCCAGGTACGGTATTGGAGGGTTTATTATTGGTAACGTGCCGACATTGGAAATACCACAGCTATGGATAACTTTATTTAAACAATCCAAGTTATAATTTTGTGTTCTGATTTTATTCCATTACTATGCACGGCATCATCAATCAATATTTATATGTTTTGGGGAGTTCAAGTTATTACAGCAGGTTTCTTTAAAGAATATTTATTCAATTTTATTAATTTATTCTATATTCCAACCACGCGCATTACGTAATTTGGAAAGTCCGTTAAAAGCTGTCAATTCGAAAATTAAGGTACTGTATTCGATTTCGCCTGAAGACGACGGTTGTAAACTGTTGAAAGTACTAGCGAGCACGTCTGAAATTTAACAAAACGCTGTCAATAACGCCGCAACACGGAAGTGTCAAATTTTTAATTTATAAACGCTGGCGTGAAGTGACCTACAATTTCATTTATTACTTGATTTTATCTTTAAATAATTTCATAAACTTGAGTTAAATAGTTATTTTAATGATTTCGTAACATATAGATGTGATTTAACGTTAACAATATCTTCCTAAATGTGTGTTTAAATTGACTACAAGTATAATTATTCCATATCGTAAGTATTATTTTCGTAACATGTGATTACTTTTAAAAAATGAATATTTCACAAGTAATCTTTTCTCGTATGCTGATTATAATTGTGCATTAATTGAGAGACTAAAAACGTAAACGAAAATGTAAATTCATATTTATATATAAAATTTACCAAATAAATTAAAATACTCTAAGTATTGTAAAAAGTACTGTACAACACGTGATTGCTTGTGAGAAAAATTTTCACACGCTTCGCAAAAAGTTAACGTTGAAACGATGTTTGTTTTTATTCATCTGCAGGAAAAAAGTTCCTTGTTATTTATGAAATCATTAATAAAATATTATTTTACTTTAAATCTGAAATAAATATATTTCAAATTTATTATTTTATTTTGAAATCAATATTTACATATCTCGAAGCATTAATAAATAGTTTCTGATAATGATAAATATCCCAGTATTGCCAAATTAGTGAAATCAGCATTCCCATGAGAGAGATCAATTTCCCGCCGTGCACTTTCGCCTGATAGAGCATCAGTGTTGGAAAGAATGCTTAACTCACTTTTGATTAAGGAGCGACTAAACATGTATGATCAAAAGCCTCACCTTGTACCCATTACAAAGGACTACTGAAATTAGCTCCCTCAGTGCATAGAAATCATCAAGAACAATTGGAAAATTAAAGAAGTTAAAAGAATAAGAGAAACGGAAAAAAAAGCACAAACATTTTGAAGAACAACAAAAGAAAGCTGTTCGTAACATGAAGATTATGGAACTGCAAATGAGTTTAAACCAGAAAAATGTAGAAGAAAATTGAAATACATGCGACAGGCCAAGTTTTGTTAGAAGCAGCAAACAAAAAAACTGGAGAAAGCTATTAACAGCAAGAACATGAATGTAGTACTGTACAGTACAAGCAGCACTTGTGATGCTTATGATTTGGCATTAATAAAATGCTAATTTTTGACAATCCAAAGAGCAATATTCCTCTTGTATAACAATCAGTATTTGAACCAATCATGTTTTTAACCTATTGAATATTGGAATTCAAAAAAGTTAAACTTAATTTTTTTTTCTTTTAAATCAGTAATGTAGTAATATTCTGATTAATTCTGTAATATAGTGCTTTTTGTATATTATTTTGTTATAGCATACTTGCAACAAAAAATACATATAATCCATAAAATTAGTCTTGCCAGATCCTGTTTAGGAAATGCAATAGTCAACAACAATAATTCTGACATGATTTCTTGCTATTGATGAATATTTTGTGAATAATTATGAAGTAGATAGATAATCTTGCATATATATATTTAGATTCTACATCCTCATGTTTTAAATCTGCTACTTATCCTAGATATACCATTGTTCTTCATTTTTTGATTATATATTTACAGCAATATATATTTTAATAATGCTATTTTATCTATTTGCAATTTTTGTACCACTTTGTGTTGTTTTATTAGTAAATTTGAAAATCAAAAATTTTTTAGTTGCTGCATGATCTGCATAATTTCTCCATTAACAAAATGCATTTTTTCTATTGATAAAATACCAAGTGTTTTATACTTTTTTTTTTTTTTTTATGGTTTTAGGCCCCTTACCGCTCAAGGAGCACAAAGAGGCCAAGAATGAAATTTTACAAAGAGTGTACTGATTGTGTTAGTGTCCCTGAATGGGCACATAGGGGTCCCAAGCAGGGCTCATAATGACTACTCCCTTGTGAGGGCTCATAGAATTACGTTTTTGTGTTATTTTT